GCCCACAGGTCCTTTGAGAGACTGAAATCCTGCCCCTGAAACCGGCCCCTTGGGGCTGGGCCCCCCTGTCTGACGCTGCCTGCCCCCCTCTTTGTCCTCTGCCTGCTGAGGGATTGCCCCATCATGCCCCCACCCTGTCCTGCGCCATCCCAGCTCACCCACCCTGGCCCCTGAGGTGGGCGTGCTCTAGAGATTGCAGAGCGGCAACCATGGGCTAGTTCAATGACGGTCTGCCCCGGCAGGGGGCAGTTCTTGTGCTTGTCTGTTTTTAACCTAAATTTGAAGCCTTTAAGCTAGACCCTCATTTTCAGCACCCCCCCCCCAGAGGCCCCATAGCTCCCTGTCTCAGTCGAGCACATGGAGGAAGAAAACCAGTGCTGCGAACCCCTCCCAGACACGAGGTTCCGTGTAAATACCGGCTCATTTAATCCTTCCAGCAACCCCAGGGGGCGCCACTACTATCGCTTACCAGCGGGAATGCAGAAGCTCACTGAAGACAGGCACCTTGCTCAGAGCACGCAACTACAATCAGCAAGTCATAAATCCAGAATCAGACCCAGGCCTGCCAGATTCTGAAGTCCACGTATTTCCACGATGCCTGCAGTGAAGGCAGTAGGTCCTGATTTGGCCACGCACTGAGGAGCCCCTCCGCGGCAGTGTGGGAGGGAACTCAGAAAGGCGGGAAGGGGAGTGAACGCAGAGAAGGCAGTGCAGGGAAGAGGTCTGCGGACCTGCACTCAGGTAGCAGCCCTGGGGATAGAGAGTAGATCAGGACCGGCTGGGAGGACGCAGGACCAGGTGGGGAGGGGGTGTGGGGACTGAGGGCGAGCATCGGTCTCTGCACAGAGTAGGGGGAACACAGAGGAAGAGGGGGCTTGGGACAAGTATCTGTGGGGCTCCTCCGTGGGGACGCCGTGGCACCCTCCAGGGGGAGGGGCAGCAGCTGCAGAGCAGGCTGGCGACAGAGGATTACGGGGCCCTGGAAGCCTTCCAAGGGAGATTCCTGCACAACAGGTGCATGCGCGGAGCGAGGAGGAGAGCACAGGCTGCTGTTCTAGAAGCCAGTCCGTGCGGGGAGAGGGCAGGGCCTGGAGAAACATGGGGGCTATTGTTTAACAGGGACAGGGCGTGTGGGGAGGGGAAGGAGTCCGTCGTGAGAGAGAACCTGTGGGGGACACTCGGGGGGCTGCTGCACTGGTGAGAGTGGAAGGCGATGGTGTGCAGGACAGAACACAAGGCCTGCGGATCTGCAGACACCAAGGACGGTGGGTTCCCTCCCACACGCCCCGGGAGGGATGCCTGCTGGCTGTCGTTTACCCCGGGCCCAAAAGGGGGTGGGAGGAGGTGGAAGAAGGTAAAGGGGCAATAAATGGTGATGGAAGGAGACTGGACCGGGGTTGGTGAACACACACAATTCAATATAAAGATGAGGTACTATAGAATGGCGCACCTGAAACCTATACCATTTTATTAACCAATGTCACCCCAATAAGTTCAATGAAAACGACACTGGGCCCACAGACCCTGCAGGCACATCCTGGTGCAGGCTTTTGCTACAGGGCCCTCCAAGCCCCGCCCCTGACCCAAGCCCCGCCCCTGCCCCCAGAGAGCAGCCGGCAGAGCGTGCTCAACACTGGCACTGCGGGTCAGCTCTGAATTTTCCTGTCAACAGTGGTGAGTATTTTCACTTCTATTTCTTCCCTGGTCCCCCCGCCCACTTCCTCACATAATGGGGCTCACGGGAGTCATACGTCAGACCCTCCACATCAATCTGTCCTCTGGGCAAAGTGACAAATTCACTGGGACCCAACCCTGGCAGGAGCCCTGGGTCCCTGGGGATGGCTTCCGCCCTGTAGCATGTTCCCCTCTGCCGCCGACCACACAGAGGCCCACCTGCTACACTCTCTGCTGGAGTGGCAGCTCCTGCCCCAGAAAACCGCAGAAAGTTACCACCTGGGCAGGAAAAGCTCCTCAGACAGGGTTGGCCGCTGCGCCCACCCCCGACTTCCCCTGGTCTATCAGCTCTTAAAGAATCCTCAGTGACAACGGTGTTAGGTGGCTTTTGACGAATGCCTTTCTGGTTCCCTCACCCTCCTCCTGCCCAGACTCCTGTCTTCCTCCAGCCAAAACACTATCAGAAAAGCACAGGATTTGGAATCCGCACCCTCGGGCTGGGGTCCTGGCCAGTCCAGCATGCTATGACACCTTTCAAGTCACTTGTGAGCCCCAGCTTGAAAGCAGGTAAAGTGAGAAACAGCATCTCCCTACTCTCGGGGAGGTGGTGAAAAGTTCGGTGAGGCAGGCTATTTGTAAATCGCACAGTGCTGTTCTGACCTCTGGGACCTAAGCAAGTTCTGCTGGCAGCTGGACCTCTCTCTGCAGGGCCCCACCCAGCACTTGTTCCCAGCCATCAATCCCTGGCAGCTTTGAGCACACGGAGACACATTTCAAATCAATTCAATGCCAGCGTTTGTTCAGGCCTGCTCGGTGACAGGCTCCAGAACGCAAACAGGAGCAGACACAGAACTTGCTCCCAGTGTGCTCAGCTGGGTAGAGCTAACAGAGTGGGTGTCTGTTCATGTGCTGGCCAGGGCATCCCTGGGAGAATCTGCTCCCTGTTGCAGCAACAGATGATGTAGGCGTTACTGGAGTCTGGGTCCCCTGGCCGACCCCTGGGATGAGGGGAGGTGGGCAGAGTCAGCTCTCTGAGAAACCAGGGCGAGGCACCTGCAGCAGGTGAACCGGACACCGTGCAGAGCCAGGCCCTGCCCCGCAGGGGAGCCTGCAGGCTTACTGCACCCTCGGTGCTGCGCCCCCACCATCCAGAAGATGTGGAGAGGAGACCTGCTTTGGCCAGGCTCACAGAGACATCATGGAATGAGAACAAAATGACGAGAGCAATGAGAAAATGTGATCAAGGGAAGCTGAGATAATCACGGAAGGTCTGTCTCAGTGCTGACAAGCCTTTCCCGTGGATAGCCCAACCGACTGCCTCAGAGGCTTCCATCCTGCTTCCCTTACTCTGAGTCTCATCTCCACCGGAATATCCCACTCACTACAGTTAGTCCTTCCAGCGGATGCGGCCCCATCTCCTGTCCATATTCTTCCCGCCACCCTGCCACCCACAGCCAGGATGCTCAGGTGATGCTTGCTGACAGAGAAGCCCTGCCCATCCAATCCCCACTGCCCCGGACCTCTGCCCAGAGAAGCTGAGAAAGTCACCTCCTCCTGTCACCTCCCCTCCAGCAGGACTTCCAGAAGCTGGCTCAGATAGGAGACTTTGTCCCACCTGTGTTCCAGACCCAGAGAAGGGGATCCCAGGATCCCACAGCCAAGCCGTTCCACAGAGTTCAAAACCGAACCGTAACAAAAGCAACGACAAGCCTTTAGAGAGCCTAGACACCTGCTGCCTTCGGCAGACATCTTTCTGCAGCACTGTCTGTCTCTTGCCTTCAGATTAGAGAGCAGAGTTGGGGGTGGGAGCGTTTAGATGGTAAGGTTTTCACCCAGACCATTAACTGCGCCAACACCCGCCTCTTGGGCTGTGAGCATAAGGCACAGCAGGCAGCTGTACTCTGGGAGTGAGAAGTGCAACCCAGCCTTTTTCTGCCTAAAAGCATTTCACACACACCCAGGAGAGCTTCGACCCGTATCTTTGCATGTTATGTTTTTCACAGCCCTTTAAACATGTAAATATCTCTGAAGGATGAAATCATATTCCACCGGCCCCAGAGCAGTTCCCACACAGCACCTGAGCCCAAACGCTGAGCGAAGTAAATCGGTTACTGGATGCCTGTCCCCACAGGACACGGGTCAGAGCCCAGGGCTGTGGAGGGTTGGGGGACCCAGAGGGGAAACCTGGCCAGGGAGCCTTGCCTCGTTTCCCCAACCTCAGGCTGGCCCAGAGCAGGCCTGCCTGCCATAGCGAGAGAGCTGAGTTCCGATGAAAGTAAATCTGAAATATCCAAATATGGAAACTCGGCAGGAGGGGGCAGAACCAGCTGAGAAAGTCTGCAGGAGCAGTGGGGTTAGCGGGCAAGAACGAGCTCAGAACTGCCAAAACCCTGCAGAGCGGTAACAAGGGGGAGGCGACGTGGTGTGCGGAGCCCAAACGGCACCAACGCCCCGCGGGTCCCCGACTCGTTCCGCCCGAGTCTTGATTTTCTGCGAGAGCCCGCGGAGCTGGTCCTGTGCGCGCGTGCGTTGCGCGTCTAAATGAGCACGCTCAACCGAACGGTTCGAAGAGGTTTCCATTCCTTCCACTGTCACAGTTACATTCCGGAGTGTGCTCTGGTCGGAAAGCTTTGCAGAAATGGAGGGGCTGCCCCGGCCGGTGTGGCTCAGCCGGTTGGAGCGTCCGCCCCAAACACCAGAAGGTGTCCGGGCACGTACCTAGGGCGCCGGTTCACCCCAGTCCGGGGCGAGGACACCGGTATGTTTCTCTCTCCCGTCCTCTCTCTTTAGAGCAATAAAAAAAAATGTGCTCAGGTGAGGATTAAATTAAAAAGTGGAGGGTGTGCGTGAGGGTGTGGAGGGAATACCAAGTGGTTGGGGTGCGGTTGTGCGGGGGACACCTGAGAGTCTCCCTCCGCCTGTGAACCCAACTTGAACATGGCCCCTGTAGTCCACAGCCAAACCCTGGAGCAGCCCCGCAGTCCGGGACCCCAGTCTCCGTCCTCGCCACACCCCTTCTCTGCAAAGCAAGTCCGCTCTGGGGCTCCGGAGCCCGCCTGCCCTCACGCCCAACCCGCCGGGCAGCAGCGGCCCCGGCCTCCGCCCCGGCCCGGGCCTGGCTGTCGCCCCGCTCTCCAGTCGGGGATGCGCCGGAGTCCCCAGCAACCCGGCGCGGGGCACCGAGAGGTGGCTGCGAAGCTCTTGCCGCCGCGGCGCTTTCGATTTCAGAGTATTTGGGACCAGCGGAGAAGAGCTGCCGAGTCCCCTCACTCCAGCCCTACGGCCGCGGGGCCGCCGTCGCCTGGCGGCGACCTGCGGGGACTCACCTGTGGCTGGGCGCGCGGGGCCCGGCCTGCAGCCGTCCGCAGGCGCTGGACCGCTCCCGGCAGCAGCTGGCCACAGCGCGGCGGGGCGCGGACCTCGGCCCCCTAGGCCCGCGCGCGTCCCCGCCCTCGGAGGAGGCGGGGTGGGACCCGGGCTGGGGGCGGGCCCGGGGCGGGGCCCGCGGGTGCGGTCGGGTGCCGCGCGCGGGACCGGGGACCGCGGCCACGCTGGAAGGTGCTGGGCAGCAATCAGAACTTCAACCCACCCTCGCTAGAATCATTAGGATCTGCAAATAAAAATGATCTCCGATTCCTCTCAAGTGGGTTTGAACAGGGCACATCTCGTACAGTTAGTACAAATTTGCCAGCGCTCCTCGCCGCTGGCCTCTGCATTCCCTTGGAGTTGGGGGGTTCGTGGTTGTACCAAGGCTTACCAAACACTTCTTTCCACCCTCAAAACGACCTCGTGAAGCAGACCTGGGCGTGCATTTCACAGACGAGCTCTCTGAAGCCCGGAGAAGTGGCCGCAGTTACGCGCTGAAAGCTGCACGCTCCGCAGGGGCCTTAGCCACAACTTGGATGCAGGTTTCCAGGCTCCTAAATCGGGACTCTTCCCTACGCTACTTCTCTCCAGGAGCCTATGCTCTGGATGTTTGTATTCCCTATAGATCTCTGTGGAAACGAGTGGCGCATAAAGAGCACGGACTTCAGATGGAAATACACCAGAATTTCAATTCTAGCTTCTGCAGTTTCAGCTTGACAACTGTGGGAAAGTTACTCAGCTGCCCCGAGCTTCGATTACTCATCAGTAACAGGAGAGAATAACGACGTGGAGCCAGGGAGGAAATGCAGAGCAGAGAGGCGGAGTGTAGTCCTGGGGAGGGGAGGAACTTGGGTGCATCCCGGAGCACTTACTGCTCTCAGGGAGCAGCCAGGCTCAGAACCAGCCGGTCTTCACCTGGTCTCTTATCTTTTCAACAAGAGCCAGAAATTCCGTTTCAAACCTTTTGGTTGGTGAGCCAGATGAGCCACTCGCTGTGGAGATGGGCCTGGGGCACCACTTTGGGACTGCAGACCCACCTCACGATCTTGCTGTGAGAACTACATGCCATGACATTGGAGCACGCCTGGAGCAGAGCAGCGCTCTGTGAACCCAGGTGTCTCTCCCCGCGCGCCGCACACAGTGCACCTTCTCTTATGGTCACTTACTTCCTCCTCCCTTCTCTTCCCCCACCCTCTCCGCGAGCACACTGTCAGTCAATATATTTTGTAAAGGTGTATCTCCTTTTAGTGGCCAGAAACAGAAATATCTAGTGTGCATATATGCGGGTGTGCCAAGGGTCTTCGGTACTGACTGGGATTTACTTGTCTCTCTCCACCCTTCTTCTCCATCAACTGAATAAAACAGTCAATTTGTTTCAAGAACGATATCCAAGCTTTAAATGGGGTGGAGTCAGATGCTGGGGCGCACGGCGAATCACGGTGGTGCCGCATGACCCAGGGCTAGGAGTCTGCGCAGAAAGGCAGGAGAGTGTTAGATGGCTGTTCGTGGGCACTCAAGACCCTTTTCCCAGGGCTGCTTGCAAATCCTAGGGAGAGCACCTGGCAGAATAGAGAAGACAAATCCCGGGACCTAGGCCAGTCTGACGGAGGAGACATGGTGCCTTTCCTCAAGGATCTTGAAGAGAGATGGGGAGAACAGTGCATAAATGTACATATAGTACAAACATTAAATACTTGCAGTTGTAGCTATGATTTGTTGTCTTATTACATACCAGGTAATACATTCAGCGCAGTATCCATGTTAACCTATTTAATCGTCAGCATTATTTTATAGATGAAAATCTCATCTCTTGAATCCTTTGCTCCAAATTGCCAAATTCTTAGTTGGGGAGAGATGAGATTTGAACCTGGAAGTCTGATTCTGGTGCTCTTAGCCACTCTATCACCCTGCCCCTCAAAGAAATAGTTGGTGTGAATGCGAACAGAATAACTCGAAGAGGGAGACAAATTTCAGCAGTTTGATTGTTCTCAAAATATTTGCAGAAAACAGAATCCAGTCTTGAAACTAGAATCATCTACGAATATAAGGGCGGGATTGAACTGTGCACTAATTTCTATATGGAAGAAAAGGGCTATTTTTTTTTCTGTTTGTTCTAAAACACCCCCAAATTACCCTGACTTCGCAAAGGCATGACTTTCAGCTGCTTGGCTGGATACGCTGAAGCAGGTAGGAGACTGCAGCCCAGGCTGTCAAAGAGATGGTGCTGATGGAGAGAGGAGAGCGCCACCTACTGGAAGAGTCGATGGCTACATTATCTTCCTCGGGCTGCCGTTGCGTGACAAGACTGATCCATGTAGTGTGTTGGTTACAGCAGGGTTAAAAGGCCCTATCTCCCATCACTTAGAGATTAGTGAGATCAGACTAGGAGGGAAAATCCTCTCCTTGGGTTTTAGATTGAACCTCTAACTTCCATCGCAAGTTACAATGGAAAGTCTTTGCTCGTAATGGAAAATGTGATAGAGCAGAAACCACTCTCAGGCGAAAAAACCTCAGGGGCCTAAGCACTTAGCACGCTCCCTTGCTCACTAAGTCGGTGCTGCACCGAGCAATAAATACATGAGAATCTGTGAATTTTCTGTATTTAATTTCTTGATCTAATGATACACAGTCCCTGGGCTGTCATCACATAACCTTCACAACAGCTCTGCCTATCAGTGTGCTGATCACACCACAAGAAGAGAGGCGGGGAGTGCGTGCGGGCGTGTGTGTGTGTGTGTGTGTGTGTGTGTGTATTTCTCCCAGGGCTGATGTCATTGAAAACAAAAAGACTTCTTTTTCAAACACTCTTTCTCCAAAGATACATCTCTAGAAACATGCCACGGGTTATTGGCCACTTCATCTGCTGAAGGACATCTTGGTTGTTCCATGTTCCAGCAATTCCAAATGAAAGCGGCTGTAAACATTCGTGCGCAGGTTCCGGTGTGGGCATGCAGCCCGTGTACATGCGCACACAGCAACTGCACTGTTAGCTTAGGAGCTCAAGGAAGACCGTGATTTTTGTTCTTTGCTTCACTCTATTCTTCCTTATTGATGTATAGGCTCAGCACCCCTTTGGAAAAAAATCAGACTGTTCCTGATTGGCATTCCTGAGGCTATATCCCACATTCTGTATTTGTTCTGGGGGTTCCCCACACAACACACACCCTCAGCCCTCCCACTCTCTCTTCATGGTTTGATTGTCTGATTGTCAACCTTTTTGTTGGACAAACGAGATGTTTATTGTTTTAAAATTGGACCTGCTGTCTTCATTTGTACTGCTTGGCTAAATGTGGAGTCTGTCCAGTTTGAGTTCCTTTATTAAGATTCACCCATCAATTACTATTAATGCTTGGAAAACATTTTAACACATTAATTCTGCATAGTCCCTGTAAGGCATTAAAATATAGGTTTTTAAGGTTATTATTTGGCCTTATAAACCATGAAGTAAGATTTGACTGGCAGTTTGGTTTTATTAGACTTTGTAATACATTGGTAACCAGGAAGGCTGTTTTTGGTATTCCTTCTTTTTGAAAACGGTGCCTACTCCATATGGAAGGATATTAAACAATGATCTTGTAGCTCTGGCTAGCTACATCCTCCCCGTCACAGAAAACAGGACAGAAGGAAAAGCATGAACTCGAGAAGAGCTTAGCCTGGAAAAAGTACTGACAAAGTTCAAATGCCTTTGACTCCAACACACCTCAGTACTCCACAGCCTTGCCCCTCTGCCCTGAAAACCCCCCATGCGATCTCCTACGGGCACAGTGAGGGTCTCTCATGGGATATATCAGCTGGGGCTGTTGCATCCTCTGCACATGCTTTGCTTCATACTTTTTCCTTTTTAAACAACTTTACTGTTCTACTTTCAGTACCACAAAATCCACCCAGTCAGTGAATTTTAGTGAATGTACCGTGATGCCACCATGGCCACAGGGAAATGCTACAACAAATCCACCTCACCTTCTGCTCTTCTGCAGCCAATCCCCACTCCTGGCCCTTAATGCAGGCAAGAGAGGATCTATCTGCTCTCTGTTCCTATAGTTTTTGTATTTTCTAAAATTTTTATGTAAATAAATACATAATATTTTGTGTCAGCGTAACGTTTCTGAGGTTCATCCATTTTGTTGCCTATATCAGTACTTCTTTTTATTGCTGCATAGTATACCATGGTATGGATGCACCACATTTTGTTTATCCACTTACCACCTAAGAGATGTTTGGGTTATTTACAGTCTCAAGCTATTATCAATAATGCTGCCATGAACATTTGAATATAAGTTTTTGTGTGGACATACATTTTCGTTTTTATTTAGGTAGATACCTGGGAGCAAAATTACTGGGTTTTATTGTATATGTACATTTTAATCTCAGAAACTGCCAGTTTTCCAGAGGGGCTGTATCACTGTATCATATTACATTTCTACCAGCCTTATGAGAGGTTTTCAGTTTCCTCAAAGCCCTGACAACAGTTGGTATTGTAAGTCTTTCAACATAGTAGACATCCTTGCCCTGGCCAGCTGGTTCAGTTGGTTGGGGTGTCGTCCGTGCACCAAAAAGTTTGTAGGTTCAATCCCTGGTCGGGGTGCATACAGAGGAACTGATTGATGTTTCTCTCTCACATTGATGTTTTTCTCTCTCTGAAATCAATTTTTTAAAAAATCCTTGGGTGAAGATTAAAAAGCATTGAAAACATTAGTCACTCTAGTGGATGTCATAAGTACTTCATTGTGGTTTTGCTTTGTATTTTCCTTATGACTAATGATGTGACATCTTTCCATACATTGATTTGCCATTTGCGTATCTTCTTTGGCAAATGTCTATCCAACTCTTCTACTTAATTTTTTTGTCCTTTTATTACTGCCTTAAGAGTTCTTGAGTTCTAAGAGTTCATAATATTCTCTGGATACAAATTGTGTATCAACGATATGTTTTTCAAATATTTTTCTCCTAGTCATTGACTTGCCTTTTAACTTTTTTAGTTGAATCTTTTGAAAAGATCGTTTAAAGTTTTGATGAAATCTAATTTATCAATTTTTTCTAGAATACTTTTATAACATAAAAGTACTATGTCATACTTTT